TATATATATATATATGTGTGTGTGTGTATATATATATATATATACACACATACATACATATATATATGTATATATGTGTGTATATATATATATATATATGTATATATGTATGTATGTATATATAATTAAAAACTAGGTAAAACAAAAAAAAAAGCTTACAAATTGAACTCCAGTGTCATTAAGTACGCCAACCCCAGCAGAAGCAAAGTTGGCACCAACAAGAAGCTTTCCCCCTTGAAGCTCAGGACTCAAGTATGGCAATGTACGCTCTAATCCAAGTTTTTCACCTAATAATTACGTTGACAAGGACAAAAAATAAATTTTAATTAATAATTATATACAACAACGTATTAAACAAAAAGACTAAATGGATAATCATAGCCAGTGGTGGACGCCGCGTAGCCACTTTATAGTTAGGGGTTTCATCTAAACTCTACGAAAACTTATATTACTATACATAGTTAAAATAATTCTAGATCCCAAAATTGTCCCATGAAGGACTACGTGTGCCTGATACAGAATAATGTTGCATGCATGCACACAGCAGCACCAAATGTGAAAATAATGAGGAAGGAAGAAAATATTTTGAAGATTGTAAGACTTCAACTCTTATTAAAGAAAATATAGAAACTAAAAAAAGTTGGAATTAATGTAATTGTGATTGGAAAAGGGATCGACTTTAATACCATATAAAATAATAGATCTTAAATCTAACTCACACTCAAAATAAGGTGAAAATTATCAAATCAATTATCAAAATAAGTTTCCTATGAATTTTCATACTAATCTTCATGTAATTTACGCTTTTCTTATATATAGTGCATGCAACTTGTTAATTTACATAATGATGTATATTTTGGAATGGAATGCAAACCACAAAGCAGAGAGAGGGTCCTATAACAAGTCTTTATATGGCCATATAATAATATGGTCACTACTAAACAAAAAAAACTGAATTATTTAACCATGAATTTGTAGCTAAACAGTAAAATTTATCTCAACAAAATAGCGACAGACCAACGACGGAAGAGGAATAGTAATATAATTAACTGATAATGTCAGGAATGTTAAGGCCATTAGAGAATCGTCCAGTAGGACGATGAGTTGGATAATCAATGCCATAAGGTGGTGAATCTGCACGAGCACTTGTAGCTAAATAATTGTTATTTCCATTATCAACTAATGAATCTCCAAACACAAAAAATGCTCTTTCATCTGCACCCTCTATTACTACTACTCTTAATACCACAATAATCATCAAAATAATTACTATATTGGAACCCATTGAACTAATTATGATATGTCAAAGAATGAATGAACTAGGTGGTGTTTGCTTTCCTTTTTGAAAGAAGCTTATAAATCAAGTGTGTGTATATGTTTTGGTGTGAAGTAAGAGTTGCCTTTATATATAAAAAAATTATTGAGGAGATAAAATAATTATTTAAACTAATAAATGCCTTTGGAAGTTTGGTGTTATCATATAAAAAACTACTAACTAGTTAAGAAAAGGATCACAACAACTTTCAATTGGAATAATCAATGTAGACAGTTGTTTAGCTGGGGTGATTAAATGCATTTTCAATCATTTCATCTCAATAAGTTTTATTTTCTTTTCCTTTTTTAACTTGTTCAACTTTTTACACTTAGGTACGGTGCACAATATATATATATTACATACATACATACTCAATAATTCACACACTCTATGTAAAATAATACTTTATTCGTCCTATTTTATATGATTTAATTTGACTTGACACTAAGTTTAATTTTTTTTAAAAAAATTTGTATTGTCTAAAATAAGTGAGATATTTGCGTGATTATAAATCATTTCATTAAGGGTAAAATAAATAGTTTAGAGTTAAATTGTTACTTAATGATTAATATAAAAATGTGTAATTCTTTTTGGGACCATTAAAAAAGAAAGTAATTCATATAAACTAAAACGAAGAAAGTACGTGTTATCTTTCATGAAAAAAAAATGATATTATAACAATAACCTGATGAACATAAAATGGAACTGCTATAACAAATTGAATATATTGCTAACGTAAAATTAGTTATACATTTTTATTTAAATCAATAATTTCTAGCATGGATTGTGTCATATTTTGACTTTTCCCATATCTTGGTTAGTCAAATGTAGGAAGTGGGTATGAGAGTATGACTATATATGTGAATTTCATTACTAATTTGTTATTTAAAATTGACTAATTCTGCCGTTTGCGTTATGTTGTTGCTAAACTTGAACTTCAACTTACCTACCATTATAAAAGTTTTGTGAATCCTTCAAAAAGGTTGTTTTCTTTTTTCGATTTCTCATTCTGTGTTTGAAGTCTACGTTAAAATCTCGATTAAATTTAAATCATGCATTATAGGATCCATTTGAGATGACGCTCTCAACATGATTTTCTTCTTAGACATTGCTTAAAATCAAGACATCTGATTAAGAATGAAATGTGCAGTTCCACCATCCACCATTGCACCACAATGAATATTAGTTGTGGTTGTTAAAAAGGTTTAAAAGGCATCAAAATAGCGTAGTGTATATGCATTGACGTATAAAATTGTACATCTGATTTAACTTGTGAAATTTAACTTGACTGAGCCCAATTCACCATCGTATGTTAATTAATATAGAAAATCCTACAGAAGTGTATAAGTAATTTCTTTGTTGAAGGAAAAACGAAAAGAATGAGATTTCTTGGTTATTTTGTGTTACTTGTAAAAATCGTCTTCATACGTTAAAAATAGTAATTGTCTTGTATTGATTTTTTAAAAGTGACAAATAAAAATAAAAATTTATTTTTAAAATAATTAATTTGTAAAAATAAACGAAAGAGTAATTAATTTTGAATGAAGAGAGTAATTTTTTTATATTTTATATTGTTAAGACGAAGATAATGTAGGAAGCTAAGACAGTTAGAGTGTATTAAGTTGTTAGCTAATATAATTTGTGAGTAATTGGAAGTTAGTGACTATTTTCAAAGGTGCATTAAATTAATAGCTTCAAAAACAGCTAATAATTTTATTTTTATCTTCACCGAACACCGCTTTTCTTTTAATTCTCATGTTCTTTTCTCTGCCATTAATCTTTTCAACTCTTCAACAACCAAGAAGTTTACGCTCTCTAACGAAGACAATTTCATACTTAATATAAAAAAAATAAATTTAAATTTGAAAATGATAAAGAAGTACTTACAATTCTATCATAATTTTTTATTGATTATAATTATCATTGACTCGACTTATTTGTCTACAGTAAAACGTGCGTTCTCTTTTCATTTTTTTAGTTGTCTACTATTTGAAAAGTAGTCTTACACTTTTGCCCGTCACTTTTAATATATTGAGATTTTTTTTCCTATTTTACTTTCAAGACTAATTACTTATTTCTCAAGACCTAAAATTGTAAAACTATGGATCAATTAATAAAATTATTATTATAACTTATCTAAACCCCATAGTGTAATGACTTAAATTACATTCTATCATAACTATTTTTAAATTTTCAAAAATCTCTCAAAATAAGTGTTATCCGGATACATAGCAAACGAGCTGGATATATAAATTTCGATACATTAAAACAAATTCAGTTACACTTTTAAAGAAAAGAGAATCCATTTTGGATGTGACTTCCCCAAATCATGCTAATCAATTTGATGTCAATCTCTCCCAAATGATAACAACTTCAATCAATTCAAATTTAAATTTTCTTCCATCAATTCTCTTCCAAATATTCAGTCAGATGCAAATCCTTTCAGAATTAACAAATTCAAAATTCATTTTTTTCTATTCATCGTCTCATGTTTATCAAATAATCATTTAAGCTTATTAAAAATTTGATAAGTTACATAATGAATAGTAGTTGGACAAATAATTTTGTGTGAATCTCAAATTCACCATTGCAGTATATCGATGAAATGAGGAAGAACTTGAAAATCCGATATATAGCAGAAGGAAGTCATAGGAAAATGTTGATTATGTTGCTTGGCCTCCTCTTCATCCCATCTCAATCGTGGAAACCATTGTAGAAGATGATCAAAGAAGCTACTGTCCATTTGAATTTGTATTTCATAATACATTAAAATCTAGTTAATGTATCCCAAAATTCTTCTTCTGATTCTTTTTAAAAAATTCAACTTTTTGAATCAAACTTGTCGACAAATTGTACTGATACAACTTGAACATGTCGATCTTGTTGAGACATTTCAAAATATGAGAAAGTGAGGTGAGGTATGAACGATGCAAAAATGATGAAAATGTTGTTGGTCAAAATATTGATTTGTGATTCTCTAATCAACCATTGCAGTTGAATTAAAGATTGATAAGTTTTTGAAAAATTTGGAGATCTAATACATTGTTGAGGTGAAGAAACAAGAGTTGGGATTTTCAATGTATTCGTTATGCATTGATACAACAAACACAAATGCTAAAGAGATGCATAGCTTTGATAGATCATAAATACCTTCTGTAATGTTGCATAATCCTTTTTTTGAATGTTGTTTTTGTTATGGATAGATTTATAAATACATTACTATTTATTATCTCGTTAAAATTGATACGTTTTGTATTTCTATTAGATACATTAAATAAGTAATTGTTGTCCATACGAATGTTAGGTTTGAGATTGATACATTGCTTTGTGTAGTTTCTACGTATCAGATACCATTAGTATAAATTCAAATTTACATATCATGGCTAAAAAATTGTGTATTTGCTCATGCAAAAATAGAATGTTGTGTATCCGATACATAGAGGATCATGTATCAATTATATGATTTCATAGATGAAAATTGTGTATCTAACACGCAATATACAATTGTATTTGATAAAAAGGTATTTGATATTAGCACTGTTTAAATGACGGAATATTGTGTACATGATCTTCAAGATCTTCACATATTGCCTCAAACTAAATAAACTTTTGATAATACTAAATTTAGAAGTCCTAGATGCATGCTGCTTCGACTAGTTGAGTCATTATAATACTAAAATAAGGATCTTAAATCCGTATGTATCAAGAAATAAGAAGAAAAAAAATAAAATTGAAAAAGACGACTATGGAGGTAACACACTTTATCAGGAAATAATGAAGAAGAAAAAATAAAATTGAAAATAAAATTGAAGAAGACAACTATTGGTTGGTTTAAATTTGATTTAATGGAGAGAGAATCCTTTTATAAATCAGTTGATATGAAATTTGTAACTGATAAGATTATGGAATGAAATTGGGGAGATATTAAAGGAGTGAAAAAAGAAAGAAAATCGTATGTTAAGGCTGTGATATTTATATATCTTGTTGACTTGAGAATTGAAAAAAAATAAGGCATTTTTAAATATTTTAAAATGATAGGAAATAATAGAAATATGAAAAATAAAGATATGTATATAAATAATTTATCCAAAATTAATATAATAAAATACTAATATTAGTCGTAATTTTCTTAAAGGACATGCAAAGATTAAAAATGAGCTAGTAAAAAATTAACGGAATAATTACTTCTTCCAAATGATTAAAGAGTTATTCATTCTCTCATTAAGGTTAGAACTTACTTCAAGGGAAGGAATATAATTAAAGTCAAGGATAAATTCCACTAAACAACTCTACAATTTAACCTAAATTATTTTGACATAAAATAGATGAATGTATTTTTGGAATCATATTGATAGAAGAATTGCTACGAAAGCACAAGGTCGGTAACTTTTATAAAATCCAAGAAGGTAAGTTCTTTGGTTCGATAAAATCAGCAAAAATATTAGAAGTTAGTCATTCTCAATGACTACTCAGTTTATAATTAAATATTCTTGATTTCACCAAAATATATATATATATATATATATATATATATATATATATATATATATATATATATATATATTA